GAAGTCGAAAACATCTCCATTATAGATTGTATACGGAGAAAGATTGCCGAAATTCCTGAAACTCGGGAGAGCATTGTACAGGTACGTAGCCTGCATAACAGAAAATTCCGATTTCGCGATAGGCAAAGCACTCTGTTTGAGCAAAGTTCTGTGGATAGTACTGACTGCTCGAATTCCTCTCTCAGCCAGCGAATTGTAAACTTGACTGTAATCAGGAATCCGATCCCACTTCAAACCCGTCTCACGAACGAATGCCTCCAACTCTGAAGAAGAAAACTCACTGCCGTTATCAGATATGATGCGTTGAACTCCGTTTCTCTTGACACTTTTCTCCTCCTGTCGAAGTAACTCCATCAGAATATCACTCGTTTGACTCTTGGACTTCATGGGACGCACAATCAGGTATCCGGAAAAAGCGTCGACAACTATAAGAAAGTAACGATAACCCGATGGTTCAGAGACTGCAATCATATCTTTCAAGTCTACATACCACAGAGCATTTACATCTCCAACACGTTCCTGTCGAAATGAGGTTTGTTTGTGAACAGGGCGTGACACAAATTTCGAAATCCTACACACGTGACACGGAGAATGAATCAACCGCCTATTGAATGTGATGTATTTGACCGTATCCGCAAGCAACTTCTGTACTCGACAATCAGGGTGCCCCGTTTTCATGTGCCACAGAACCGCATCAGATAGACTCTGTGTTGACTTCCCATCGAAAGAAGGTCCAGGAGTGACATGTGCTTTAGTCAAACAGACTGTTCCAGCCTCCGCTGAAACACAAAAGATTGGCACATCACCTGCCACAGAATCATGCATCGGACCTCTGGTTGTCAACAGATACAACTTGTCCCGCTGAATCAGAGGAATCCTGATCTTGCCATCCTCCGAAGCCACATAGGATTTGACCGTGTTCTTCGACCCCCGTCCAACAATGTAATACTTGGATCCCAGAAAATCATCCAGACTCACAAGTGGTACAGGAAGGACAGAACTTGGACTTGAATCCTCCTGACATAGCCCATGGAACAGGAAATAATGGCTTCAGATAGGATCGAAAGTATTGGCCAAGCTCCAGGAGAAAATATTCAATATCTTCATACAACGCGTTAATCATCGCGGCATCCATCTCCTTGCCATCAGAATCCCTTCGGCTTACCCCCTTCTTTTTCTTCTTGCCAGAAGCACTCACTGGGTTGCCGGAATCACCGTCAGCAACACTGAGGACTACCATACTGATCCGACACCGTCTTGGACAAACTTTGCAACTGCTCCACATAATCTCGAATCTGCCCGCTCTTCCTCCAACAAAATTTGGCATTCAGGAAAAGCAAAACGACCTGCCTTTTCCATTCCTCCGTCAACTCGCCATCCACATTCACACTCTTGTTCTTTTCCCAAACAGTGACCTTCCAAACTGGCAACTTCCTAGCACAAGCGAAAAAAATGCAAAAAATCGAGTCCAACTTCCAAACAACGATTCCAAACAATCGAATCACCGACTCAAATAGCAACAATGAACCGAACTTACTCTTTGTTCCAGTTCAGACCGTACGGTAAATCACAGTTGCGCAACAACAGTAAAAAAATGAGAACTGAGAACAAAGAGAAAATTTTCTCTTTGTAATCGAATCAACCTCCACCTCACTGGCCAGAATCTATTCAACCCAAGATCCACCAAAGACTAACTCTCAGTACACCTGAGATCCTTACACCAACCTTATTCACCTCAACGATACACAGCTGTGCAGTCTCTATCACCTTCACTGATGATGATAGAACTCTCAGAAGAACCACACAACACCACCAACACTTCCTTTATTCACAGCAGTCACCTTCCCTTCAGTCCCTTGCAACCCAGTACAATGCACAGCGCGCAGTGGACACGTGTCCTCCTAACCCCCTCTTCTCCGCCTGACCCTCAGGCTCGTCGATTCCTTAATTCCAGACCTATGTCGAAACCCACTTCCATCTCGCTGAGCTTCGTCCATCGATGAGACGCAATACCCTGAACTTCTCGCCGTCTCCAAGAACTTATCCGAGTTCTTACACTCAGAGACAGGGGGTGGGGTGGGAATGGGGGGTAGTAGGAGCCTGGTCTGGTAGTTCCGCCAGTACCATTTTGACTCAAGTCACAGATCAGTCGAAGGGGTGGGGTAGGGGATGGGAGGGGTAGTGGGTGGTCATAAATGGAGTCATCAGGCCCCTGAAGGAGGTCTGACCCACCCCTAGCTGCGGGGAAAATTACACCGAGACCCACCCCTCATCTACCCGATACCACCCCCCACCCCTCGTTCCCATGTGGCCAAAAAAACAAATATCAAATATCCCCACCCCCCTCCCGCCATGAGCCGAACACATTCAGTGGCAGTTCGAGGAAAGAGAAATGCAGGGCGAGAGGCGACGGAGAAGAGAGAGAGAGCGAAGGAGGAGGAGAGGGAGAGAGCGGCGGAGGAGAAGGCCAAACATCTCCACGAGGACAAGGAGTGGAGGGGAGGGAGGCGGGGGGGCTGGAGAAAGAAACGTGATGATGGTGAGGAGGAGCAATGGCGAGAGAGGGTGCAAGCAAACGCCCAAGAGACGAACAAGTCCTGCTGCTCCTCTCTCTGACTGACGCTTACCCTCCTGCCCCCTGCAGCGCCTCCGCATGCCCGCCAGCCCCTCCAACACCCCCCCCGAGCTCGCTCCGGTCAGTCTGCTGGGCTCTGACCAGGTCGCCGACTGAGCTGGAGGTGCTGAGCTTGGATCACGTCCTCAAGTGCGAGGGCCTGGGAGAGGTCCTGCCGTGTCGCTGCCGTGGTATGCTCTGACGGGCTGAGCAGGGTCTGCGGGTTTTCTGGGAGGAGGAGCTGAGGGCCGGGCGGGTAGAGGCAAGAGAGGAGGAGAGCTACATGCTGCTGGAGGAAGGTAAGAGGGACAAGGGAGGGGCAGGAGAGGAGACAGGCGAGCAGAGCAGAGGAGGCACAGGCAGAGACAAGAAGATGAAAGTCACAATGAAGGAGAGGGAGGAAGAAGCTGATTGGAGGCATGGCGGGGGAGCTGTAGGTAGATATTTGAATATACGGGAGGAAGCTTGTGCTGCTGACCTCGTGGTTACTGACGGAGAGAGGGCTACCGTGATGATAGCCGAGAGACGAAGACGAAGCAACAAGACAAGAGCAGTAGATGATGAGCATGATGATGGTCATGATGATAGAGCAAGCGTATGATGGCAGGGCGAGATTACAGGCAGACAGCTGCTGACTGTATCGATTGTTGAGCAATGCGATGGGTGTAAGAGAGAGTCCCAGAAGAGAAACAGCAGTAGCAAGCAATCACACATCAAGTGCACAATCACAGACAAGCTCAGCCTGACAAAGCATGATGAGCAAGCAGCCCTTACAACCGAGCATCAGTGTCTGCTTGCATGCAGACCACGTTGGTGTTGGTCGTGATGACTACCATGAAAGAGATATTGTGGACAGCGATGACCTTGTGGTGCTCAGGCGAGGATGGCTCGAGGCTCTTCTGGGACAGGCTCAACACTCAAGTCTTCCTCCGCCTCCTCGGCCGTCGCGTCGTCGGCTCGCTCATGCTCAAGGTGCGCGTCGAGCTCCTCTTGCTGCGGGCCCGTCTCGCTGCCAGGCGTGAGGCCTGCAGGCAGGCCCTCAGGACCGAGCTCAGCCTCACCCACGACCATCCCACCCGCAGGGCCCCGCGCCTCGTCTACTCCGACAAGCTCTGCCTGCTGTGGAAGGCGGAGGCGAGGGCGGAGGAGCCCGCGGCGGCGGCCAAGCCCGAGAGCAAGAAGCGAGGGAGGCCGACGCTGGCGTCCAAGCAGCTGGCTCCGGGTGCTGCTGTCCTTGCTGCGTCGGCTTGAGGCGGCATGACGAGCGGCAGGGTCGTGCAAGCGGCTGTCGCCCAAGATGGTGTGCATGGCGTGCAAGGTGCTGCAGTGGAGGTGCGGAGGGCAGTGCGCCTTCACGGGTGAGGGGAGGGCGGGAGAAGGCGGGAGCTGACGGGGGAGCAGACGAGCGGTCGAAGCTGTATCTGAGGGAGGCGGAGGATCGGAGGAGGCTGGGAGAGTATCTGGAGGGTCGTCGGTACCGGGGGCTCGGGGTAGGGAAGCAGGTGGTGGTGTGGTGGATGAAGGACAAGGGCAAGGTGAGCGGGAGCTGGGGGCAGGTGGGGGGTCGGGGGACGAGAGGAAGGGAGCTGGTGAGGAGGGAAGGAGCAGACGAGAGGAAGGAGGAGTATCTTGGCGGCGCAGGGGAAGGAGGAGGTCTAGTGTGGTGCGTCGAGGGAGCTGGTCGTGCTGCTGACGCCTCCTCAGGTCGGCGAGCTCGCGGCGTCTGCGCGGGAGGTGCAGGGGGCAGACGGGCGGTGGGAGGGGTCAGCCTTCAGCCGGGTCGAGCGGCAGGGGGCGAGGCTCGGCGGAGGCGGAGGCGGACAAGAGGGCGAGGCTGCTGCAGGAGCCGAGGCTGCTGCAGGAGCAGCTCGAGCTGTGGGCGGTGGAGCTTGGGCGGTGGAGCTTGTGCTGACGGAGGAGCGGGAGGATCTTGCGGTCGCGTGGAAAGTCAGGAAGGGGCGAGGGCGGGGGGGGTCAAGGAGCGTGTGCGTCAGGGGGGGGCAGGGAGGGCGGGGGAGAGACAGGGAGGAGGAGGACGGGGATGGGGGGGATACGAGAGGTGGGCTTCGACGCGAGCATGGGGATCATCCTGTGAGTGACGAGTGGTGGAGAGATGGGAGACGATGGAGATGATCAAGAAGATGATGATGGAGATGATGATGATGACGTGGATGATGATTATGATGGAGATGCTGATGATTGTGATGCTGATTGGATGTGACGGTGATGCAGGGTCTGAAGGTAGATGTGTAGGTTGCTGCTTGTAC